CTATTTAATTACGATTTAAATGTAAAATTAAAGTAAAAATCCATAAATTATTTTCAAATTATTATTTCTCATAAAAATAGAAAAAATTTTAAATTTTAAATTGTATTATATTGCATTATTTATATCTATTATTGAAAATGGTTGTGATTAATATTTTTTGAATTAATTTTGATTATGTTTATAAAATTAGTAATAAATATAATAAAAAAACTTTATATATTAAAATTTCAGGAAGTTAAAATTGTAATTTTATCGACCGCGTTATTTTTAATATTTTTTAATTTTGAGAATTTTGCAATAAATTCAAATGCTTTTTATTCTTTTTTAAACCTTTTAACAATAAATAATAATTTGAAAGTAATTTGTGAATTTTTACTTTAATTCTACATTTAAATCGTAATTAAATGGCTAACAAAATATTGAAAAAACAAGTTTACTTTGCCTTAATATGTAAAAAAAAAAACTTTAAGTGAACGATAGCTTCATTTATTTATTTAATAATAGTAAAATAATTCCGAAAATGAAATTTTAATTAATATTTCGTTTAACAATAATTGTTGTGATATTTTTGTAAATTAAAAAGGATTTATTATAAAAAAGACATTTTTTCTGGGGTTCAGGGCTATTCTACGAATTCGTAAATACGCCCATTGTTATTTTTTCGTCGAGCTACCCCTGTTCAAAAAAAAAAGTTTTTACAATGAATAGAAGCCGAGATATTGCAAAATTTACAGCGCGCATCAATTTGAACTTCTTATCTTGGCTCCTGTCGGTCGTTGAGGGTACTTTTTTTACTTTAAAACTGTATTTTTTTTTGCCAGCTATCCATTGCATCTACTTTCGGTGAGGTAGCATAAACAGCAACAATTTTATTCAAATTGTTAAAAATTTAATGTTATATTAGGGAATCCGACAAANAAATTTATTAAAAAAATATTAATCACAACCATTTTCAATAATAGATATAATAATACAACAATTTAAAATTAAATTTTTTTCTATTTTTATGAGAATAATTTGATTTTCAAGTTTGTAAATTTTCACTTTAATTTTATATTTAAGTCGTAATTAAATAGCTAACAAAATATTGGAAAAACATATTTACTTTGCCCTAATATGTAGAAAAAATTACTTTTTAAATGAACGATAGTTTCATTTATTTATTTAATAATAGTAAAATAATTTCGAAATTGAAACTTACATTTTTGTAAATTAAAAAAATTTAAGTTTAAAAGATGCATTTTTTCTGGGGTTCAGGGCTATTATACGAATTCGTAAATATGCTCACTGTTATTTTTTCGTCGAGCTACCCCAGTTTAAAAAAAAATAAGTTTCTACGATGAATAGAAGCCGAGATATTGCAAAATTTACAGCGCGCATCAATTTGAACAGCAATTTTACTCAAATTGTTCAAAATTTAATGTTATACTAGCGAATCCGACAAACGTTGTCCTGTTCAAACGTTAAATTAATTACAAAAACATCTATCGAATCGAATTGTGAATCTAAACCATTCTCGAATCCACTTGAACACACACAAAAAATTTCATCAAATTTGTCCAGTCGTTTATAGGAGTTCAGTGCACAGAAGAATTATAGATATAAAGATAAGACAACACTTCCAGATGTCTTAATTTCCTGGGTTTTTTTTATTGCCTCGAACATCTACTGATCCTCATTTATTTTTAACATTTATTTGTACTTGGGAGATAATTTAATAATAATAATAATATCTAATAATAATATTAATAATGATAATAAAAACANACTTGATCCCTCCCACCGCTAATGTGATTTTTAGGTGGTATTTCTTTTGAGGCTCCTTAGCACGATTTTGCTTATAACTTTTAAACGGAAAGCGATCCAGAAAAATTTCCCTAATAAAAGTTTATTAGAAAAAAGAGAGCTTTTTAACAGGAAAAATATTTTGGTATGTTCCTGGAAAAAAAATATAATTGATGACGTCTTATCTGTCAAATCCCAAAGATAAATTTTATTTAAATTTGTTTGTATTCTGTATATTTAGGCCCAATACTATCGAGTTTAGGACATCACGTACATCCAAGAATTTTTTTTTAGGTAAGTTATTCGTCACCCCGTGCACCACGCCGCTGGCGCATGTACAAACAAGGAAACGCCGCGTGCCCAATTTGAGCAAACAAAAAGATTTGCGTTGTCGAGCCTGCTTAATCGCCATTTTTATTATCTCCGTGTTTTGGAAAACAACCGCTTTGTAGAGCAGATTTCGTCGAACCGCCGTTGCTCGCGGTGGAAAGTTCCCGCAAAGTTTATTATCCGGTTTGGGGAAAGTTAGATAAAGGTGTTCTTTCGTGTTCGAAGTTCCTGGCGAGCGGAAATCTGCACGCGTACAGACGCGTGGATGAAGATTGGAATCTAGGGTGCCTTTATCAGCGTTGTAAAACAGAAACTACAAGCAGCGGCGCCCAAACGGGGCATCTGGTACATAAAACTTTATAAACAGCAGAAAAATGAGCAGAAATATTTCCGAATTTCCCTCAAGATTCAAATTTTGATGTTTTGAGTTGAAAAATTTGTTTGAGCCTCGGCGCAATCAATAAAAAGTTATAAAATTGTAAAAAAACGGTTTCTACTCTTTCTCTTTATTCAGCCACTTCAACAGCCAATCATAGACACTAGACATATTAAATTCATCGAAAATAAATGAAACAGCAGCAATATTAAACCGTGAACAGTTTAAATTTAAGCGGAACCCGATCCTGTTCCGAACGCTTACGAATGACAACGGAAGTGAGTCTCAGTTGTTCACTTAAAACGTCTCTGGAAAGCCGCTACTGCAAGTTGACTTGATTAAATGGTAAAAGTGGTAAAAAAACAAACTTCCTAGTGACATTTTCGTTCTCGTCCCCCCGCCCCACCGACGCCGTCACTGATTATTCCGTATAGCGTCACAGGAAGGTAGCGAAGATTACTGCCGGGCAATTACAGGTTACACAGCTATCTCGAGGCGCAGGGTGTTGGGGAAACAAATGAAGGGGTTCCTTCCGCCGACGCCTGCTGGATGAATTTGAACTTTCCTGGCAAATCCGGTTGAAAATGGAGACCGACGCCCCGTTTGAAGTACAGAGTAGACGCAGAGAGGTGCATTCGACATTTTAACAATCATTATTAACACAGAAATTAACGGATGTTAAAAAAATCCCAAACTGAGAGAATTAAAAAAAAAGGAAATTGAAGCTTCAAGTGTCTAGTTTTCAGATCTGCAGTTTAAAATTTTTTAGCGTCAGCAGTTTTTGAGCAATCATAAGAAAATCAACGGAAAATTTTTTTGTAAATTTTTGCTTCTTTTAAAAAGGCCTATGGATTTAAAAATTTTATTTTTGGTAATTTCATCAAAAAGTTCTTTTAGATAATTTAATTCTCTTCAATTTGTGCGGTTGCGGAGCGTTGTACGATTATTTGTAGCCGAGTTATTGTCGATCAAAGCAAAAAAATCATTTTTGACTTTGGCAATCAATTATG